AGCTTCCACCCTCTAAAACCCTATAAATTGTCATACATCATATATGGTGGCATTTTGGAGCATATGGAGTCCATTTTTGGAGTATTTGGCTCATTTTCAAGAAGATGGTGCTTGTTCCATAGAAGGGGATCAAGGAGGAGATTATGGATCTGGCTTTTGGGACTCATTTACTTGGTCATTCATCTCTTAGATCTACCATTTATGGGTTTTGGTTCATTTTGGTCCCAAATATGAGATCTAGTGGTCTTAATTTCGTTCCAAAAGCTTTGAGTTGCCCCTCTTAGTGGTTTTGAGGTTCAAGGTCTATGAAGTTGTCAACTTTAGAGTTTAAGACCATCTATGTTGGAGTTTGAGTCATTTTCATGAAAGTAGAATGCTAATTGGTCATTTGGGGCATGTTAAGTCGCCAAGTCAGTTACTTTATGGGTTTAGACGTTATTTGGTACTTATATCTATGGTTTTGACTCATGGATTAATACATTAAGTGATCAATGGCAAAGAGGGACTAAGAGGGAAGTACGATGGGCGTACAAGCTGGTACGCACAACGTGCAAGCCGTTAAGCGAGTACGCACAACGTAGTGCTGGGTACGCCCTGCGTACTCAGTCAGATGGGACTTCACATATTTGGGCTTCGGGTTGGGCCATTTCTTGGACTAGGTTGTTGTGGGCCTTATTGTCCAGTTGGAAAATTATTGGACTTGACGATAAGGCCCATCGGGAAGGTCTGGGCCTAATTTGGAAAATTAGGCTATAAACAGGCCACAACTGGGCCTTGATGATTGTGGGTTTTTGGACCAACAGATTTATGAGTGTGTTGGGAATGTTTGGGCCTCTTGGCAAGAACCATGTAGTGGTTTGGGCCCAATTTGGAAAATTGGGTCATTGATGGTGTTATGGACATTATATTGTTGGGCTTTTGGTTTGGGTTTGGGCCTTATTTTTGGACCATACTGGGCCAGGGGTATAATGGTCATTTTACCCCATACATGGATTAAGGATTATGGTATGGGACCCAATTGATAATTGGGTATATTGATTGGTAGTGATAGCTCGGGAAGCTGGCGGGACAACAACTAAGGAATTCATGCGGGAAGCTTCTACAGTGCGAGGTGAGTCTTCTCACCATACCAATGGGTCTAAGGCACCAAGGCCGACCCATTTATCTATTTGTGATGATTGTTGTGGTGCTATTAATACATTATGTATTTATGTGAAGACCATGTGGGGGTTCCCATGGCAAATAGTTATATATGTAGTATGCTAGTTAATTGTGTGGTATTTGGTATGCTAGTTGTCTTTGTGATACTTGCATGGAATACCCTGGGGGGGGGGTTCCCGAGGCAGTCGGATATAAGACTATGTGGGGGTTACCATGGTTTTCCATGCTAAGACCATGTGGGGCTTCCCATGGCAGCTGGCTAAGACCACATGGGGGTTCCAGTGACATCCGATGTAAAACCTTGGAGGGTTTCCATGGCATCCTTATATGTTTGTATGTTTAGCTCATATGTTTGTATGTATAGTTTGCATTATGTCTTGTTTAGCAGGAAGACCATGTGGGGGTTCCCATGGCAGATAAGACCACATGGGGGTTCCTGTGGCACTAGGTGTAAGACCCTTGAGGGTTTCCATGACTTCCTTATATGATTATATGCAGGGTTTATGTGGTAGAGATAGGCTTTACAACTAATATGATATGTGTTATGTGGATTGTGTGTAAGGTATGCTCTGGGGGACTCACTAAGCTTTGTGCTTACGGTTTTCAACTTTGGTTTCAGGTATCATCGATTTGGAAAAGAAGAGATCAGATTGATCGCAATGCACACACCTATGATTTCCGCAATGAATGATCTTGGGATGAACTCTGATAAATGTTTTACTTTACGATGATTTGAAACGTTTGAAATAAATGGTATCAATGTTTTAGCTATATTAAAAATGAAATTTTTATTCTTGATTTTTGGGTTGTTACAAAACCCTAGAGTATACTAGATATGAGTTGAGGGTCGGGAAGGCATACCAAACTCATACTGAGGATTCGTTAGCATGCCAGATACAAGCTGAGGACCAAGTGGTATGCCAGACTCGTACCGAGGGTAGATCAATTATGTTTCAGTCTTAGGACTGCAGGGGCAAGCTAGTCATAAGACGTGGGCTCGGAAGCAAACTAGACTGATGTTGTGGGCTCGGAGGCTGGCCATATGTGAGTTGTGAAAGGCAAGTCAGACTCACACTGTGGGCCCATGGGGTAATCCGGTTTGTAGAGCAGTGGACAGTGGACCCATTACATGCTGTTATTATGTGTATTGTTGTTATGTATCAGTTTTTGGGGGAACTCACTAAGCTTTGGGCTTACAGTTTCAGTTTTTGTTTCAGGTACACCAGATGATCGCGGAAAGGCAAATGTGTGATCGTACAACTCCTCATGTTTATGACTTCTTCATGGGATACTATGATATTATACTATTTTGAAAACAAGTTTTGTAATAACTAATGGATTGAAATGTTTTGAAAAAGTTCAAATTTGGCATGATTTTATGGATGTTACATAAAACCCATAAAATGAATGACGATAATGTAGATACGATAATTTTTGAGTAATCTAATATCACTATTATTATAGGTAATTATATATATCAATGAATAATAATAATTCAACAAATTATCTATCATTTTTTTCATATCATCGAAAGTTTATGGAGGTGGGTGGACGATGGTTGTAATGGAGGTTAAGAATGGTGTTAAGGTGTTTGTGTGGTGGCTTATGGTATTAGGTTTTGGTTTTTAAAGGGGTGTCAGATGGTGACAGATGTAGGGACGTTGATGGTGGTTTTCGGGTGGGAAATGTTAGGATGTAATGGTAGGGTTGTAGGGGTGAATAAGACCATGGCTTATTTTATTGAATAAATTACTGAAATCGTCCCTATGGTTTGGTTAGAATTGCATGTTTAGTCCCTAACTTTTCTTTTGCACTCGGATCGTCCTTGTGGTTTGATTTTGTTGTATTCTTCGTCCCTATGGTTTGATTTTGTTGCGTTTTTCGTCCCTTACATACATAAGTTTAGGGACCAAACATGAAATTTTAACCTAACCATAGGGGCGAAAAATGCAACAAAATCAAACCATATGGACGATCCGAGTGCAAAATAAAAGGTAGGGACCAAATATGCAATTTTAACCAAACCACAAGGACGATTTCAGTAACTTACTCTATTTTATTTCATTATTTCTGTTAGGTTTTTAGTATTTTTAGTTTTTTTTTTTTTTTAAAAAATTTTATTTTTATTTTTAATATTGCATTGTATATTCTTTATTTTCTTTTCATGGATCGTGTCGGGTACTTTCTATTTTGCATGAGATGTTTTGTAGGTTTTTGGAGCTTATTGCGGTTGCGGTTCGATTGGAGTTGGGCTTGGTGGGCTTTTCAATGCATTATTGGGCTTTATGGATCCATCAAAGGAGATTGGGCTTAAAAAGTTAAAGATTTGGATGAAGTGGGCTTTTGAAGATGGGTCATGAACTCTTATTTTGGACATGAACTATCCATATTTAAAGCTTGAAGGTGATTGACCAAATTCAAATCATGTGAGTCACGGAGGGGACCAAAGGAATATTAGGCAGTGGAGAAAAATGGACCAATAACACTCCAGCAACAGTTGCGAGGGTGGAGTCTTAGTCGCGCAACACTTGCGCGAGTACCCGCGCAACTACACACTTTTGGGCATTTTGGTCATTTTGTTTATCATTTACCTTGGGGGTTGGATCTTTCAGAGAAGCTTCGATTTTCCACCATTGAAGAGCATTAGAGGTGATTTTGGAGCTTGGATACTCATTCTTCTCATCTTTCTAATTAATTGGTAAAATTTTGATGCAAAAACACTTTTATAATTGTTATTTTGTTGCCATGACTAGCTAATTTCTCTATTTTGGTTAACTTTGGCTAAAACCCTTGAATGTTTGTGGGTTTTTGAAGGATTCATGCTTAATTATCATTTATCTTATGTTTATGATTCTAGTTCATATTTCTTATGTTTGTTTAATACTTTGATCATGAGTTTGGTACTTGAATGAGCAATCGTTGGTTTATTCTTTGGTTTAGCATTGAATCATTGAATTTACTTAGAACAAGGGCTTTATGATGGTAGAAATCATTTATAACTTATGAATCGTAACTCCTTTATGGATATGTAAGCATTGACATCCTCTAGGAATTGATGATTCCTTCATTATTAAGGCTAATCAACTTCTTGGATTTAATTGTTTCAATTAAATCATTGATTTTGATTAAGAAGGTGTGTTGTGGGTTTTCCCAACCTCCATACTACCCATGAGGAATCCTGACATATCATGTTTCATGATTGCTATAACCAATTTGGGATGAATGATAAGTTTCGTATTAAATCCTAATGATAAACACACAAATGTTCATTTTGTTGAATTGCCTTGATTAACCAATTCTCTCAAATATTTGAGCATCTTACCATCTTACTTAATTGCAAGCTTTTTAGTTATTAAAGTCATTTAGTTTTCAAACAATCACAACACTCTCCTTTTAGTTTAATTGTAGTTAGCTTATTTACACTAGTTCCGTTGGATTGCATTAGTGATTGAATACAACAATTTATCCGAGGATCAATGCCCCTTTTACTATTATATTACGTTTTATTTGCAAACAAAAAGTATAATTTGCTTGATGGATTTAACATCTTACCATAATGATGACCGATTAAAAAGATATAAAATTTAATAAAAATGTTAAAATGAATATTTTTTTTTGACGAATATAAGATATTAATAAACATGAAAACCGACATAGTACATAAACGTACATTTTATGTAAACATAAAAGACTGCTATGACAATACCCTATTTATTAATTTAATATCAACGGTTTTCAAAATAACAATTGGAAACAAACTTATTAGCTTTTAAAAAAAATTAAATATGTATTGATCGCAGGAGCGCGGGAAATCGAAACCAATTACCTCCATTGACTCGGATTGTTTATGTTAAAATCCCCAAAATTGATTTTAGGGCTTTATCCTAGTTCCTGTAATATCCTGATTCCTTTCAATCCGTCTATAGATAATAAAAAGGCGGGAAACGAGCCCTAATTGGGCGTGACTCCTTGCAATCTCCATTCCAATTTCCCAAACAATTCCTTCGTGGCTACATCTCTCTCTAACCCCAAAATCCCACAATTTGAAGAAAACGTGGAAGTTTCTAAAACCCTAAATTGAGCTGATTGGATGGAGATCTCCTCCAATTCGGAGACCAAACTCCCTGTTCGTCGGCGATTGATTCAATCGACACTGGTCCCGCACAAGTCTCAAGACAATGTGGTCAGTGTAAACGAAGATCTCGAACCTTATGTAGACCTCGAAGACGATGAAGAGGAGTATTGCGGGAGTCGGATTCAAGTCAAGAAAAACGACAAGCGAAAGCCAAAAGTAGTGTCTCAAACTCGAGTTTCAACGAAGGTCCGTATATTTATTTTTGTTGCATCGAACGGTTTGTTAACATGTTAGATTTAATAAAGTCGACAACACCTGAGATGAATGATTATGCCTGAAGTGCTAGTCATATGATTCACATAAATAGGTCACCAGGGAGTGTAATTGAGCTGATTCTAATAGAGTAGCGTTCGGATAACTAGTTATTTACTTACTTAAGATATAATCAAATATTAGATTCTAGTTAACAATCTAAGCTTAAGGGAACAAGTGCCATCCACAAACCAAGTGGTTGCACTTTTGCGACAAAGAAATAGATTGGCCACCCACTTGTACTATATCGCGTTATTGTGTTTTGACTTTTTGAGCCATGTGGCATATTATCATATTAAACAAGTACCAACTAGCAAGTAACAAGAAGCATGTCATGGACAATGCTAATCAGTGAGAACGTATAAGACTTCATAAGGACAACAAAAAAAGTAACTTAGACATCATAACAACATCAATGATTTGCTGTTAGATGTCAACTTCTTGCCAGGTTACTTTCTTGAATCAGCAGGAAGTAATTTACTTGGAGAAAATGTTGTATTCAACATGACTGCGTGCCAAGCATGTGTATGTTGAGAGTTTCCTTTTCATTGCCAATTGCTACATTAAACCATGCTATCTTATTCAAAGCTTTTCTGCATAATTCACCCTTGTTTTCTGATTGATTGTTCATGGCATGACTCATGAGAATTTTAGTGCTTAGCTAAACAAAATCCAAAACACACATAAACTTCACACCATGTCTTTAAGAACCCAAATTAACAGGTTTATAAAATATGAGTACTTGCATTGCTGACATAAGGGGCTTAAGCATGCTATTGCATATGCTTTTTTGGTTTTTCTGATTGAAACTTGTATATGATAATTGTTTTTTTACACCAGCTTGCTGTAAATGGAAATGAGCTTGTAGGAAAGAATACCGATGAAGAAGATTCTCCTGCTACTGTTAGTAAGTGATTGTTAAGTTTGACTCCATATGTCTTCTTTGGTTTGGTTGCACATAATATGAAACTAAAAATAATAAAGGACATCGACATTGTGGTTCACATTGTTTTGCAGAATGTGACTTCTTATTGAAAGTTTCTGAGAAACGCCGACAATTAAGACAGCAAAAGGAGCAGTTGCCTATCACTTCACCTGATAAAAATGAACAAAAGGAAGATCTTGAACCTGATGTAGACCATGAAGATGATGATGAGTATTGTGGGAGTCAGAGTCAAGGCAAGAAAAATAAAAAGAGAAAGCCAAAAGCAGTGTCCCAATCACGAGCTTCAAGAAAGGTGTGGATTTTTTTTTATTGGATTTAACACATTTTACTAGCCTGTTAGATGTAATGAAGTTGACAACTAACCTAAGCTGAGTTGTGATGCTTGAAGTGCGAGTCATATGATCTACATTGATAGGTCACCAAAGATTAGGGATTGTTGTTGAGATGGTTTTTTAGATTAGATCATTAGAGTCTGGATCATTACTTTTAGTTACTTATAAAACGAGAGAGTTTTGAGTATCTTTATAGGTAAGGAGGGTGAGCAAATATATAACCAAATTCAGATTCGAGTTGACAACACTTAACTAGTGAGGTCCCCTAATGCTGTTTTGGTTAAGACATCCATTAAGTAAATTAAATTTCCACACCAACACTCATACATTAATATTTTTAATCCTAAGGTTGTCAATACTTAGGTAGTTGCAAGAGTAATCTTCGTAAAAGCTAATATGACATTATAAAATCACACTATATGCTCTTACCAAGTGATGCGGATGAAAATAATGTAGCCTACAACAAATAACATATAAAAGTGTTTAGGGTTTAATTACCCCAAATGTGAGCTTATCCAGGATACGTTTATGATTATAAAATAAGCATGAGAATATAAAGATTAGCAATCACAAATATACAACTATCAAGAAACAAATTCATCCCAAGAGTAAAACCCTAGACTGTTATTGCAACCATTCACAACCAAAACCCTATAAGAAGCTACTCACGCATCGCAAAAGAACCAAATGCTTCAATTACATCAGAAGAGTAAATGAGTTTCATGGTTTTGAATAACAAATTCCACAACACAAAATATCAACCAAGAGAAGTAAAATGAAAATAGCACTTAAATCCTCCAACATGTTATTGCATTTGCTTTTTGTTTGAAAGTCATAAATGATGATTGTGTTTTTACACCAGCTTGCTGTAAATGGAAATGAGATTGGAGGAAAGAATACTGAGGAGGAAGATTCTCCTGCTACTGTTAGTAAGTGATTGCTGATCTGGACAAATTCCACACCCTACTTAACACATCATTTGCATTTGACAATGAGCATCAGGATTGTATTTCACTATAAGTTATATTGGTTTATGCAGAAGGTGATTTCTTCTTAAAAGTTTCTGAGAGACGCCATCAACAGAAACAGAAAAAGGAGCAGTTGCCTATCCATACACCTGAAAAAATTGAGCTGAATTGTTCTCCATCAGATGTCATCACAAGTCGAGCTAGCTCTACACCAAAGAAGCAAATGAATTCAACACCACCTAGAAATGTTGTTAATGGGGCTTTAGCTGAAGATTTATCACAGAAAATCTTGACTAGTCTGCCTAAGCCACTTCCTGATCTACAGTTGGAGGCAAAAATGACTGCAGAGGTAACCAATGTTAGATTTAATAAAGTTGACAACTACCCGAGTTCAATGATTATATGATTTACATAAATAGGTCATCAGGGAGTGTAATTGAGCTTATTCTAGTAGATTAGAGTCTGAATTATTAGTTATTTACTTACCAAAGAGATAGTTTGATTGTTTTTATAGGAGTGTGAGCAAATATCTAAATCAAATATCACATTCAAACCATTCCATTCTCAATTGATACATTAAAGCATGACCATTCTATTCAAAGCTTTGCTGCATATTTCACCCTATATTTCTAATTGATTGTTTCATGGAAGAAGAATTTAATGCTTAGCTAAACAAGATCCAAAACACACTTAAACTTCTCATCATGTGTCTCGTGTTTATAAGAACACCAATTAACAGGTTTATAAAAGCTGAGTACTTGCATTGCTGACACAGGGGGCTTAAACTTGTTATATGTTTTTTTAAAAAAAACTTGTAAATGATGATTGTTCTTTTACACCAGCCTGCTGTAAATGGAAATGAGATTGGAGGAAAGAATACCGAGGAAGAAGATTCCCCTGCTACTGTTAGTAAGTGATTGCTGACCTGGACAATTTCCACACCCTCCATATATATTCTTTGGTTTGGCTGTACATCATGTGAAATTGACAATAAATAGAGGACATCAACATTGTGGCTCACTCTAATTTTTTTTTTTTTTTGCAGAATGTGATTTCTTTTTGAAAGTTTCTGAGAAACGTCAACTGAGACACCAAAAGGAGCAGTTGCCTATCAATTTATCTGATAAAAATGAACAAAATGAAGATCTTGAACCTGATGTAGATCATGAAGATGATGATGATGATGATGAGTATTGTGGGAGTCAGAGTCAAGGCAAGAAAAATAAAAAGCGAAAGCCAAAAGCAGTGTCCCAATCACAAGCTTCAAGAAAGGTTCGTATTTTTTTATTGGGATCTAACACAATTTACTACAGTACTATGGAGGCCCTAATTGATGTTTCGGTTAATATACCCATTATGTAGATTAGTTTCCACAATAACGATCACACACAATAATATTTGTAATCCTAAGGTTGTCAATTCTTAGGTATTTGCAAAACTAATATTGGACAAAAGCTAATATGACATTATTAAATCACACTAGACTTTTTTACCATTAAAACTGATTATTGATGCTAATGAAAATAATTTAGTGTATCCATACAACAAATAACACATAAAGGTCTTTAGGGTTTAATCACTCCAAATGTGAGCTCATCCCGGCATATTCATAATTATAAAATAAGCACATGGGAATAAAGATTAGCAATTACATACATGCAGCTATCAAGCAACAAATTGATCCAGGAATAAAACCCTAGACTTTCTCTTCAGCCATTCACAACCAGAACGTTATACGAAACTACTCAACATATTGCATAAGAACCAAATACTTCCATTGCATCAGAAGAGTAAATGAGTTTAACTGTTTGGAATCACAAGTTGCAACATGTTATTACATTGTTTTTTTTGTTTGTGTTTGAAACTTGTAAATGATGATTGTTTATACACCAGCTTGCTGTAAATGGAAATGAGGTTGGAGGAAAGAATACTGGGGAAGAAAATTCTCCTGCTACTGTTCGTAAGTGATTGCTGACCTGGACAAGTTCCACACCCTAGTTGGCATTTCATGTGAAATTGACAATGGACATCAAGATTGCATCTCACTATAAATAATACCTTTTTTATGCAGAAGGTGATTTCTTCTTAAAAGTTTCTGAGAGATGCCATCAACGGAGACAGAAAAAGGAGCAGTTGCCTACCCATACACCTGAAAAAGCTGAGCTGAATTGTTCACCATCAGATGTCATTACAAGTAAGATGATTTTCTCCAATTTTATCATTTTTAATTCTTCTAAAACCCTTGTGGTATTCATTTCATTTGTCTTTGAAGATTCAAAGAGCCCTAGGAAGCTCAGAAGGCGAGCTAGCTCTACACCAAAAAAGAAAATGAATTCAACGCCATCTAGAAATGCTGTTAATGGAGCTTTAGATGAAGATTTATCAGAGAAAGTGCTGACTAGTCCACTTAAGCCACTTCCTGATCTACGTCTGGAGGCAAAAATGACTGCAGAGGTAACCTTTTCTTGTATGACCATATTCTTGTATCACTTTCTTTCTTTCTTTCTAGATTCTGAAATATTTATCATTCTCTATCAGGAAAATTCACGTATATTTGCAGGAAAGCAAATACATCCCTTCTTTTCTTCTTGGAAAACAGGCAAGAAAAACACTGAGAGTACTGGATTAGAGATCAAATGGTGTCATGTTGAGGGAAAGGAAAGCAGCAATGATTTCAGTACTTTCCATATATTTGAGAAAACACAGGTATACAATGTGGTTAACTTAACTTGTTATTTTTTCAGTGTTTTCTTCTATCTTTTTTTCCTTGAATATTGAATATCACATGTGCAGGGTGAAGAAACTTTTTCTGTTGATTGGAGAAACTGGACATTTTCTGAAGGTGTCTCCATGAGGACTAGTCAAGAAGCAGAAGATGCTTGTTTGCAGCTGATCAATGAAGGATCAGTCAGTTGCTTGCAGTTTGATAATTTCCTTGATGCCCCTCCACTTGAAATATCATCGTGTCAGAACAAGGGGTATTCGAGTCAATTTCCTATCCAACTTGAAGAAATCTCCTCCATACCTCCAAATTATCATGATTGTAACTCTCAGCCTGAGAATAGCTTATGGACAACCAAGTATCAGCCTGAAAAGGCCATTGAGGTATGAATATGATATCTGAAACCACAGTTTCACTCTAATGATTAGTTTATTAACGTTTATTTTGCATAAAGCTACATTCTCTTTGTCTCTTGCCCGCTTTGAAATCAAGCAAAAATCCATGTTTCCTAAAATACCCTTATCACCTTTTTCATGTGATCTGCAGATATGTGGGAACATTGAATCTGTGAAGTTTCTGAGTGAATGGTTACGTCTATGGTATCAAAAAGGGTCAAGAATCAGTAAATGCTCTACAGATAATGATAATTGGATCATGCAAGGTGTTGACCTTAACTACTCTCCAACTGACTCTGATTCAGAGTCAACTGATGAAGAAACCAGTTTAAAAAATGTCCTCTTAGTTACAGGCCCAGTTGGGGTATGCCTTTCCTTTTTTTTTTTTAATCTACTTAAATGGTTCTTTTTACTTTCAAAATTATCTCCAAGTTTCAAAGAGTTTTATTATTATTTTTTTTTTTTTCAGAGTGGGAAATCTGCAGCTATTTATGCATGTGCCAAAGAGCAAGGTTTTCAAGTTATTGAGGTATGTTAATATTTAATTATTTAAAGATCTTGAAATCCATACGAATCAATCTTTAATGATGAAAATATCCAGGTGAATACATCAGATTGGAGAAATGGTGCACTTGTGAAGCAAAAGTTTGGTGAAGCTGTAGAATCACACTGGCTTAAATGGTTTCTCAACTTTATTTTATTCTAGTTGTATATAAAATGCATGATTATGAAACAATTTCTTCTAATATTTGTATGTTATTCCAGTTCTGCCCCCAATCATGAAAACCCAGATAACAAGAATCAATTGAAGTCATCAGATGATGTTATTGAGTTGATACCATTATCAGATGATGAGGATTCAAAAGATGTTAAACCAATAGACAAGGAGAATAAAATTTCCTCTTCTCAAAACGGAATCAAAACCCTAATTCTTTTTGAGGATATTGATGCAACTCTATATGAAGATCGTGGTTTTATTTCCACTATACAACAGCTTGCAGAAACAGCAAAGCGACCAATGATATTAACCAGCAACAGTAAGAAACCAATTTATTTAAATATTTATAAAAACTAGTTGCTGAATCTAATTATCATCTTGTTTGATTTAATATTTTAATAGGTGATGATCCTGATCTACCGAATAACTTAGATAGGATAGAGGTTAGCTTTAGAATACCATCATCAGACGACCTTCTCAGCCTTGCAAAAATGGTAACATACTTTGGCAAATATTCTTTCATGATTTCATCTTCAGTCCATCTTGATTTTTATTTAATATTATTCAGTTATTTTTTTTCAGGTTTGCACTGCAGAAAAAGCCGAAATTAACCCTTCTCTGTTGGAACGATTTATCGACTACTGCCAAGGCGATATTCGTAAAACCATTATGCTTCTCCAGTTTTGGTGCCAGGGGCAAACTCGGAAAAAAGTTCCCGATAATGAAATGCATAATACATATGCTCCACTGCTGTTCGATACTAATGCGAGTCATCATGTTCTACCACAACTGATCCCATCTGGTCACACTTCCAAGCTTTCTGAAATTATTGAAAAAGAAATTACAAAATCAAGTTTGTTAGCAGAAAAATATGATAATACCATGATGGAGATAATCGAGGAAGAAGACGAAAACATCGAGGCCAAAAAAGACGAAATGCTACGCAGACACTGCTCCGATCAAGATGAAAATAAATTTTCAGCTCATTGCTTTCCAAGTTGCTCGAGTTCCCCAGTTGCATTCACCAAAAGATCCCTTCAGAAAAAACATGACCCCGGAATGTCTGATTCCGGAGATTGCTTACTGGATGTACCTGAGGATGTAATTGAAGAAGTGGCCGTTGAAAAAAGGATTAGGAGGAAATACAATTCCGTTATGTTGTCCGATTCCGAAGATGAGTGCTTTGATGTGTCATGTGTTCCGGAATCCACTTTTGTTCCCGAGACAGAACTCGGGAATGGAATGTGTTCTGATGGTGGAATCGAAGATGGTGCCATGAGCATGGATATTACATCAAGAACTGTGGCAATGGAGTTTCATAATTCTTGTGAAGAAGATAAAGCTCCATCAATGGCGGTTGCAACGGATTCCGGTTTGGATTCGGCACCAATTCACGGGGAAGAAATGGGTGATTCCCATGTTGAACCGATGGCGGGTCTCCTGAGGGAATATCAAATGATGGATGAGTGTAGCCGAATTGATTTCAATAAGAAATTGGAACCGGAATCGGAATTGGAATCCGTAGATATTGTACAAGAAACATGGAGAAAACTACGTAACTGTGAGCATGAGTTAAGGCAATACGTCTCCAATGAGGAAAAAGATAGTTTAGAAGCTTTACAAATTTCTCATGGAATAACTAATTTAATCTCGGAAGCTGATTTATTACTTTCAGATTGCCAGTTATTGACATGTGTAAGTATACATATATTTATTAAAACTTTGTATTATCGTTTGAATTTGATAAGAGTTTTTAATCACAGGATTATTTAAAACCATCGATGGTTTCACCCGAGAAATCACACTCATCCAGCTGGCATGAAGACCAACTGCAAATGGGGTCAACAACAGGTCAACATGGATTCTGTTTATATGCAAAAAAAGGGTCAAATGGTCAACTGGATTTGAGTCGGGAGATGCTGGCAGCATCGAATAACGCTGTTTCTTTGGGAAAATTAATCAACCAAAACAATTTAAACAACAAAATTCATAACAGCGGAGTCTCCTTGAAAAGGTAGCATTTCATTTCGAGTAGGTTATTTATTTATTTTATTTTTTTACCTAATAATCTAAATTATCTACCAGCATACTAGAATCGCCAATTTGCAATACAGTTCAATCGATAGTTCCATTAAAGTCACAATTATCACTGAAAGGCTATGTGTTCCATGAATACCTCTCCACACTCTCCCAAATTTCAAGATCAGAATCTTTGCGTTTTTCGGAAGCCATAAACAGTTCAAACCAAAGAAGGTATCATGATAAATTTAAGCATATCTTGCCCAATAATCATATTTTTATTTAAGCATTTTGATGTATATTGCGCAGAAAGAGGGTGGCTCGAAATTACTTGAGTAATGGTGGATTATCGTTATCAAGTGAAGATATTTCGTTGCTAGAGCAGTATAGTTGCTGCCAGAAACAATCATCTGAAACAAAATTTTAGTGTAGAAATATTAAAGAATAAAAGATGGAGAAAAGTCGACGGATTAATGATAGAAGGTAAACTTTTGTTTTCACCATTGTTTTACTCTTACATTTTTTTATTGTAATTTTGTTATTTAAAATATGCAACTTAATGCAAAGATCCTCGCTATAAAAGTATATCCAAGTCAAAATAGGACCAAACTCCAACAAAAGAAAAAAACAAACAAAATTCTTCCAAAATCTGTGAATCAATTTGTTTAAAACTTTGAAATCAAATCTAAGGGTACAATGATTTTTTCACAATAGATTTAGAATAAATGACACAAATATGAAGATCGGGTCTTCTCCCATGCGATACGGTGTACAATAGTGTGATATGGTCAAGGTCAGAAGGGAGGGCCGATGCTCAACGTTTCTGAAAAGTAAAAAGTCGTCTCTTTGAATGAAAAATCACATTCATTTTTAATGTCCAAGAAATTATTTATTATATTTTAAAAACTGATAACAGAAGTACTATACATAATTGATTAAGACTAATTAAGATATTAACCGATCAAGCTCAAAAGAATAGAATAGTAAAATTAGACGATATGATATAATATGTATTTAAATTTAAACAAAATCAATTTTTTCATTGAAAAGAAGAAAAATGATTTATAAGGGTAATGAACTTTTGTATTGATCTCTTAATATCTTAATTCGTTTTAAATGTTTATATATTATCCTTGTAGTTGAAACTGTAAGGTAAAACTAATATAGTTGTTCTTATTTATTTATTGTGTGTGTAATAAAATAAACCATTCAACTAGTTGAAATTGTAACCTACATCTCATGATTTCGGTGACAAAAACAATGTGAGCTGTTTCAATAAGATGGATGAAATATGATGTACAAAAACAAAAAAATAAATGTGAACAATAAATATCAAAAGTTTTTTTTTTCAAAAAAAATTGCAATGTTCTTTTTAAACAATTTATAAGGTTTTTTTTTTTTTTTTGAAAAATATTGTGTACAAAAAAGTTGTTATCCTTGGTTTTGTGGTTTTTCATTTGTGTTTAAGTAGAACTATTTTTGTTTCGGTATAGATTTGTTTTTTTAGCTTATAAACAACAATGGATTTTCATGTATAATAAACATCCTAACCTTTTATATATATATATATATATATATATATATATATATATATATATATATATATATATATATATATAGGATTATTTGACAACTCATAGTTTCCTAAGAACCTGAAAACTAAACAAGGATCGCTAGATTAAAATAATAATAGATTAGGATGCATTGTGGCAGTTTTGTAATACTTGGGGAAAAAAAGGACACGGGGCATCTAATTAAAATTGAATCAAGGGCATTTCAGGCATAAAAAGGTTAAACCTTTTATCAGACCGACTGCTACCCTCCCTTCCTCTCTCTCTCCCCTTCGTCCTGCCCCCGGGAACACTCTTTAATCTCCAGATCGTTTGATTTGTAACTGATGCTCCGACCATCAGTAGTTGATCTGTTGCTGCCAGTCTCCTGGACGGATTTGTAACAGATCGTCAGATTCGTAACAGATCACCAGATGTGTAATAAATGCATCGACCATCGGTTTTTGATATGATAGAAACTAAATTATCAGTCAACGATCTCTCCCGCTCTCATTTCTTCATCGATTATCTCCTCTCTGCTTGCCTCCTTATGCACATTAACAATCAGAAAACCTAATCGCTAGATTTAAAGGAAGTCGTTAATCTGATTATTGCCCTAAACCTGCAACTATACGACCATGGGATGCTCGCTTCTCATCTAACCTCATTTATTTCCAGCTCCACCTTAGGTTTTACAATTACTTATCTAATTTATTTCCATAGAACATTATAATCTCACCTGTTGTGTATAGATTTGTTTCTAGTTTTGGGTTTCATTATAATCTGATTTAGTTGACATGCATTAGCCCGAAAATAGAGATCTTATGTTAATGTATAGAATTTTAATGAGTTTGATAATGAATGAACTGGTTCAAAATCGATAAATTGACGTTTATACTTAATTTATTCATCAATTTCAAAGAAAAATCAACTAAACAACATTAATCTGTAATAGGTCTTGTTCTTTCCATTTGATGATAAATCTTTTATCTTCTCCTCACCACCTAAAGCCGGTATGGATCCGAATGAGTGTTCAAATTCATTTAAAGTTTTTGGAATCATCTTTATCCTCATTGAAACACATTTAGTGCCGCTAACATCAGATTTATGTACTTGCAACTCTTTGAAAAGTTTCTTTCCAGATGGTTGACCTGTATATAGAAGCAAATTGTGCTTTCATCTTTAGACTTGACATGAAAAAAGCTTCCCTGAAGTTCCCTTTTTCCATTTCATCATTGCCACCCTTACTTACAAAAGATAGAACAGGTGTTTGTGAAGTTCCCTTTTTCCATTTCATCATTGCCACCCTTACCTACAAAAGATATAACAGGTGTTTGTTAGTTTTGCATTTTGTCTCTTATTTCTACATGTCCTTTTCTTTTTGGGCCACTTCTATATATCAAACTTATAATCACCCAATTTTCTTTTATGAAATACATTAATCTGCTTAACATTATATGTTGCATCCACAACCCCCTATGAACATTTTACAGATGACCTACGCTTGGTTCGAGAAGCCATAGGTGAAAAGGTTTTAACTTCCTTATCTGGTTTTAAATTTTCATTGTTTGTATCGTGTTTTTGTTTCCTTCGTTTATAAACATTCAAAGGTTTCTCATATACCTTCTTTGGTTTAGCAAGATTGTCCCTAGTCATGCAGTTTTCAGACGTTCCTAGATTTAGTAACTAGAGATTCGACTTTCTTATTAGAAATTAGTCATCACATATAGTTGTTTTATTGAAACAAATCTGATTTATTTCCGGAACCCAAAATTGTACAACCATGGGATTCTGTTTTATATATTCAATATTTTTATAAATCCGCTCCTCTATCTCATATGCTTAATTCTTATATGGATTTTTTTTTTTGGTAGGTGTACTTCCAGTCATTTATTTATAGCATAATGAGGTATGTGAGATCATTTTTATTTTGTTTTGTAGTTACACTTCCATACTTTTTGGTTCTTGTGAATTAGTGTAAGAGAAAAACCAATTATACTGTCAACCATAGATGCAGTCACATAAGTATACTTGTGATGTGAATCAAATATGATTTATATGTGAATCACATATGATTCACATGTTAATCACATATGATTCACATGTAAATCACATATGATTCACATATGAATCACATGTGATTCATATGAAAATTAAAAAGGATTAATATGTGAATCACATGTGATGCACATGTGAATCACATATAACTCACATATGAATCACATGTGATTCACATATTAATCATATTTGATTTACATGTAAATCACATATGAATCACATGTGATTCATATGAAAATCAAATGTAATTCACATATGATGTCATATGTAAATGTGATTCATATGTAATTCATATGTTAACCACATGAAAATCATATATGTATTTTGTTAAGTGTTTTTGCATCAATCAATTTTTTTTTGTAATTTTCTTGTAGATTTTGAAGAAATCATGGTGAATATTGAAGAGGTGAAAAATGATAAATTGAAGAAAATAAGGAAATATTGACACGAAGACATGAAACCACTTTGTAACTTGTAACATTTTTTTTTATAATTTATTTTGTATATAATAAAATATTTATACTATTATGTTTATAGATTAATTAATAAAAATGAGATTTTTTATAATTTACTTATGAATATTATAGAATAAGAAATATGCATATATGCACCTAAAACTTTGATTTTTATTGTTAAAAAAGTTAGTATTTTTTAAAAAAAAATATTCTAGTTTTTTTTTTTTTTTTTAAACTTATTGATTTTTAAAAATTTACTTTTTTTTTAAAAAAATGCAACTTTTAAAAAAAAATTACAATTTATTTTAAATGCAGTTTTTTTTTTTTTTTTTAAATTGCAGTTTTTTTTTTTGAAAAGAATGCAACTTTTTTTAAAAAAAACTTGTAGTTTTTTTGAAAAAATTATAGTTTTTTTTTTAAATTAATTTTTTTTTTGAAAAAAATGCTGTTTTCTTTAAAAAAATTGCAGTCTTTTTGAAAAAATTACAGTTTTTTTTTTTTTTTTTTTTTTTTTTTTTTTTTTTTTTTTTTTTTAATGCGTTTTAAATATGAACAAAACATAATGGTTATGCGTTTGGTCCCTAACTTTTTTATTTTTTTTTATTTTTAAACTCGGATGGTCCATACTGTTTATTTTTATTGCATGCTTGGTCTCTGTCTTATCTAAAAAGACTATTGTGCCCTAATTAATTAATTGTCTTATTTGTGTATTTTTTTTATATATTTAAAAAAAATTAATAGACCCCACATATATGTATCTCATCCCCCAAACTTCTATTTCCTTTCCATCTTTAGTGACATCGACGTATTCACCATCCATTCTTTTTTCAGTTCTTCAACTTCGGCGAACTAACACTACAACTGACCATCCCTTCCTTTTGTGATGCATTGGGTTGTGGTGGTGGAAAATCCGATGAAGAGACAATGGGTTATGATGTTGTTTCGTCGGAGTTGAAGGACCGAAAAAAAAGGGACGGTGAAGACGTCGATGTCACTAAAGATGGAAAGGAAATAGAAGTTGGGGAGAATGCGATACAGATATGTGTGGTCTATTAATTTTTTTTAAATATATACAAAATAAATACACAAATAAGAAAATTAATTGAAAAATAAATTAATAAGGATACAATAGTTTTTTTAGGTAATACAGAGACCAAACACGCAACAAAAATAAACAGTGAGACCATTCGGGTTAAAAAAATGATAATTTCATATATATCCTTACTAAATGCGAAAATATCATATTTGTCCGGTCTAACATCTAAATATCATATTTACCAAAAATTGTTTTTTAATAGTTTTTAATATTTTACTATCATTTTTTATATTTTAAAATTATTAAAATTGAAAAAAAAAACATAGTGGACCATATTGCCCTTAGCTTCCAAATTACGAGCTATTAACAAGATAATTGGATTTTAGTATATCCTCGACGTCTTCCTCACCTTCATCGGATTTTACCTCTGGTCGTCTTCCTTCTTTCCTTCTAGCCATCTTTCTTCTTACAATCGAGTATAAGCAGGTAACCGTCTTTTCTTTTTGCCCTTTTCCTATATGCGCTCATGATTTTATTCAATTTGTGTTTGAATGTGATGATATTTATGTATAATCAGGTATTCCCCCAAGAACTCAAAGTTATAGATATTAAATCACTACAAAATGAAAACTTTCTAAATCATGTTTTTTATGAATGCAAAAACATATTGCCTCAAGAAGTAGTAGAATCATCACCATTATCTAAAGTCCTAATTTTTTAGTTTACCGATTAGACAAATGAAAACACCACTACAGAGGAGCACATTCATCCATCATGTCAAATCCCAAAAAGCATTAGCTTTGATAGTTTAAAGTTTAAACTAAGTGGATTTGGTTTAGGGGCTCAATTTAAGCTTATTTTTAAAATTTAGTGAATTAAATTTTAGGAATGCTTATGGTATGTGCTTTTGATCTATCTGAATTTTGGGCGAATTAGACTTGATGCTGAATTTTCTCTCTTTTGAAATTTGAGTATTCTTCAACACATTTTTGCTACTAGTTTTCTTCATTTGTTGTAATTATTGAAACCAACACAAAGAATAATGCGAACATGTTAGTATGAATTTAAGTCAATTATTAACATTATAATCATGGAACGTACATGGTGTTGGACCTAAAAGTCAAACTTTTTCTCACTCTTGTCTAATCGAGCTTCTTTCTATCTCTTCTGACAGATTATTTTGCCAAAAACGAAGGGCATATATGGAAGAGAGGTGTGAAAAATCATATTAAAGCGGGAAGACAGCAAGAGCCGAGAGGTCCAATGATTGTGAAGAAGATGTAGAGAGGTAAAATCCTACTATCCTGTTAAGAGCTCCTCTGATTTAGAAGGCAATGACAATGTGGTCCTATTTTTTTTATTTTTTTATTTTTTTATTTTTTCAATTTTAATGATTTTTAAATATAAAAAGGATTATAAAATATTAAAAACTATTATAAAAACATATTTGGAGAAATATAATATTTTAAATGGTTAAGAAGGGAAAATATAATATTTAGATTTTAGGCTGGGCAAATACGATATTTTAACTTTTAATAAGGGTATATACGAAATTTTCCCTAAAAAAATAAGTTAGGGACCAAAGGCACAAATTCCCTGGCCCACAAGGAACAAACTGAAAAATTAATTACCTTAATAAGTCATATTCCTTATTTTATATATATATATATAAGTTGTGCACCCCTTAGGAGCAGTAAACCTCCTAAGGGGTTGGCACAAATGGTCCCTTTATTATTGTTGGTTTTGCAGTTTGGGATTGATTTTCTCATACAGGTGTTCTATGGAATTAGTTGCTTTCTTTGTACATGTGTTGTTCATTGTTGCTGTTGTTTTACTGTATTTCATCATTATCTTATCGTGTTTTGTATCCGTGGTATATCTGTTCTAGTAGCTTCCATTATTGGGTTTCTTCCACACACAAATCCAACTCATAGGAGTTCTGAGTTGTCGATTCCTCTATGATACCTCCAGAGAGTGCAACCGATAGATTAGTCTGTTTGTTTCTATGACTTTGCCATAGCCGACTTCGCCTCTACCACAGAACACTCCCACGAGTTTGCCTCCATCACTGTAGAAGTCACCGAGCACTAATTTTGTGCAACTCTACTTGCTATAGCTGACGCCGTCGAGTCCGCCTCTGCTAGAGAACACTCCGATGAGTCTGTCTCCACCACTATACAAGTTACCGAGCCCTAATTTCGTACAACTCTACTTTGACCCTGGATACATCCACAATTATCTTATCGATATTAACCCATCGGCTTCCACTGCCTCAGAGACTTCTTCTTGACACTTCCACTGCCTCTGTGTGTCCTCCCCTTTTTGCTCCACCGCCTGCTGATGTTACAAGCTGAAGTGAATCCTTCTGATCACCACAATCGTCGATGGGTTGTTTTCGTTATTAGTTATACCCTTCTCTACCACTAGACGCTTTCCCTTCCGACACATACATGTATATCTTCTTCCAGCATCTTTTTGATCTTACTCTCTGTTATCAACTTCAAGATGTCGGAATATATGCGGGTCCAAACCAACCTCCGTTAACGACTCCGGTACTTATGCCTCAATCATGTTCTGATTTCGACTTGTGCTTGATTTCTTCCCACAATCTCCTGCAAATGTTTTTCTTTTTAAAAACTCTGGGCTGACTATACATATATCGCTCACTTATCTGAGGGTCTATTGAAAAACTTTGTTGTTGCTAAGGTAACAACATCTATTTTGGTTGAAAGTAACAATTATTTCATAAACGATTATTTCATAATGCATGTGCACTGTACAGTTTTTGATGATATGCCCAAATTATTAAGTAGCGATATATTCTTTACATTAAATTGATTTTAATTTCATGCCTTGGATTTTGAGTAGTTGGTTTAAAATTTTGGTTGTTCGATGAGATGTAAGAAAATTGATATTTGAAACAGGCAGGAGGCTTTAAGGGGTACTTTCAGGTGAAGTATTAATTAAAATGTCAAAATACCCCTTCGTTTATCCCCTAGACGATGCTGTACTTGGAAATAGGTTAATGATGCTTTCTCAGTTTGATTAACAATTTAATCATGCGGTTTGACAAAAAGAAAACATTGAATGGACGTTCATATTCATGAACCACCTTAAAAAATTATTATGCAATGAGTAACTATTCTCTGTTTTATTTGTTTAATGACTTGACTTTCTTCTCAAATCCATCAGTAGTAACATCTTGTCACACCCCAATACCGGAACGGAGGAAACGTTCGGGGGCGGAGAACATCATGTGCAGTATCACAACACAGAATAATAGTAAACAAGCAAACAACATCATTCATTGCATTAATAATGTATTTTAATACAAGTGTGTTCTGTATAGTTTATGAGTCACCAAAAATGTAAATCAAAATACAA